GTGTGGGGGGGGGGGGGGTTACTTGGTGGGTAATCACTAGGACTATATGGCTTTTTAATGATTTAACTTATCTTAGAAGCCAATCTAACAGTCATCTAATTCCCACTACCGACTCGAAATCATTTTGATATGTCATACTCTCTCCAATGACAGTATAGCATCGTGAGACAATTATCACTGAATTATAATACCGTATGAAACATGAACATTTTACCATACTTTAGAACCTAAACCAATAGAAAGATACTGATTTCTTTGATTCTAAGGCAGAGAAAAATGATTGAAGCTATGAGTTCGTATATATGTGTGGGCAATAAAAAAATTGTATAAATGTTTTCAGTTTCTTTTTTTTCCCCCGCAATACGACTTTTATAGTTAGAGTAACGACTTGTTTGACTAATGAAGAAAATCGGAGGTGCTTAGTTTTCCTACAAACGAAAAAGGGTATATTTGGTAAAATTTATTTGAAAATCGAGCATACGTTCTAATTTATATTTTTATTTATTAATTCATTCAACTTTAATTCTAGATTAAAATAGTACTTCACATAATTCTTATATTGTTTTCAATCAATCAATCGAATATGAATTTTTTTTGTACTTACGCTCAAGTTGAATTTATATTAGTATCATGTTTGTTAGCTTATTATCTAATAAATCATGTTATCTATGGTGGATTTAAACGTAATCATAGATCAAATACAAATCTAACTCTCTTTTAATTTAGACTATTTAGTTACTCGAGATAAATTGTCATAAAGACCTCCACCAAACTTGAATTGGTCACGTGACTTCCTATTTTCTTTTTCAATTCTTTTTTTTTTTTTGGTTTGGAACGTGACTAAATGAGTAGGTTAAGGTGGTTGGGTCCTTTTTAACATTTTTAAAACTTATAGGTCATCTATTAAATATTAGAAAACCTTTACTTCATCCATTTTTTTCGCCAATTTCTCTTTCTTCTCTCTCATCTCTCTCTCACTCACTACTTGACCATGGTGGTTTTGTTAGAATAGATGAAGGCCCAACTTAGTCTTGTTTTCTTTGTTATGTACAGGCCCATACTATATGGCCTATTTATTTATTTGTTGTAACATCTTGTACAGGCCCACTTAAAAATAGTTAGTGGACTGTAATTAGTAGACAGATTTTTACACATAGAAGAGAAATAAAAAGATATTTCTCAGTATCGTCCCTCTTCTTCGATCATTCTAGATCTTAGCTGTGTTCACCTCGTCTGATTCCTTCCAGTTCTTTTGTTTCTAACAGGGTATAAGAGCGAACCTGGTTAATTTCGGGAGAATCTGCGGTTTTGTTGTTCGATTTTCTGGTCTAGAACGATTATGCCTTGCACCGTCGATTTCTGCATTTTTGATGATTTTTTGTTCGTCAAAGCTGGGATTTTCGGTACTAATGTCGATTTCGTCTTCAATTGTGTCGGCGATGCAGAATTCGTTTGAAATTTCAAGTTCCGCGACAGTAACCCAATTTTAGGATTTTTTTTCGCACAACTGGTGACATTTCTTCTCTAATTTTGCACAAATTGATACATATTTTGTGTAATTGCTGTTTTTCTTATGATATTTTCATAATCATGGCTATTGATTCTCAAACGTCTGTTGTACCTGAACCTCCGAATACAAATTTTAACCCTAACCTCGATCTCTTTCATCCCTTATACCTTCACCCTTCTGATACTCCGGGCACGGTGTTAGTTTCTGTTCCATTTGCTAGGATAGGATATGGAGAGTGGAAAGAAAGTATGATTATCTCACTTTCAGCTAAAAACAAACCCCAAGTTATCAATGGTTCCATACCTAAACCTGCACCGACCTCAGCACTCTATCCTCATTGGAGAGATGCAATAACATGGTTAAAGCTTGGATTATGAACGCATTATCTAAGGATATATCCAAGACTATACTGTATTATAAAACTGCTAAGGAGGCTTGGGATAATCTAGAGGAGTGGTATGGTGTTGCAAATACATCTCAATACTATAGCATTCAAAGAGCCATAGCAGCCACTACACAGGGATCTTCTGATATAGTTACGTATTTTACAAAGTTGAAGGGGTATTGGGATGAAATTGGCAACTGCACTTTTGGTAGACCTTGCACTTGTGGTGCCTTGCCTGAGTTTATTGAGGGACAGCAACTTGTTCAATTCTTATCTGGTTTGAATGAGACATATGCTACTGTGCGAAGCAACATTCTGATGATGAGTCATGTACCATAAGTTGCAAAGGCATACTCCATTCTGATCAGGGATGAAAAGCAAAGAGAGATCAAATATGATTCCCCTATGTTCTCTTCTGATTCAGCTTCATTCCTAGCCTATTCTCCTGCTCCTCAGGGTGGTCCCTCTCAAGTTAGCAACTCCAGAAATTATTCTCAAAGGGTGAACTTTGATCCCAAGAAATCTATGATGTTCTGCAAGTACTGTAAGAAGTCTAGGCACACTGTAGACAAGTGTTACAAGCTTCATGGATTCCCCTCAGACTTCAAGTTCACTAAGAATAAAAGAGTTGCAGCTTCTGTACATGTGGATTCCACTCCTGAGATTCCTCCCCTTTCTGATCCTCAACAAGTTGTTGATGCCCCACATGGTTTCTCAAAGGAACAATATGCTCATATTCTGTCTCTTTTTCAGCAGGCCCAACTCCCATCTTCTGCTCCAACATCATCATCATCCACTGCTTATGCCAATTTTGCAGGTTTGGTAAACAGCATTGTTTTTAATTCTGATGGTTCATTTGCATCTAGTGCTTCTAGAGTAGATTCACTTTCTTGGATTTTGGATTCCGGGGCCACTAGTCACATGACCCCTCACAAACAACTACTTCATAATATACAACCTTTAGTCACACCTTCTCTTGTTACATTTCCAAATGGATACAAGGTTAAAGTTACCTCTATAGGCTGCCTATCACTGTCTTCTACTATCACCCTGAATAATGTACTTTTGATACCTTCTTTTCAATTCAATTTCATTTCTATATATCAACTTCTTACTCAACTCAGTTGTTATGCTATCCTCACTACTATTTCCTTGTTCTTACAGGGCCCTTCTCTGAAGAGGCCATTGGAAATTGGTAGAGTTGAGCATGGCTTATACATTTTGCGTATGGGTTCCAGCAAGTCTGATTTTGTTTCTATTTCTTGTTCTGATGTAAACTCTAGTGATTGTTCTTTTCATTTTGTCATTAGTCATGTTCCTTCTTCCCCTGCTATTGATAGTTCAGTGTTTCCTACTTCTTGTACTTCTACTTTCATTAATAAAAATGATGTTTTGTGGCATCAGAGAATGGAACATATTCCTTTTGTTAAAATGATATCTATCCCACATCTGTATTTTCATCTAAACAATCTTTTGTTTGCCTAATCTGTCCCATGGCTAGACAACAGAGGAATCCATTTCCTACTAGCATTACTAATTCTTCAAGGCCTTTTGAATTTGTTCATATTGACCTTTGGGCCCCATAGCATACTGCCACCTACAATGGTTTCAGATATTTTCTGACCATTGTAGATGACTATAGTAGGGTCACCTGGACACATCTTCTTTCTTGCAAGGGGAATGCTTTTTCCATCATTAAGGCCTTTATATCCATGGTTTCCACCCATTACAATAATAGTGTCCAAACCATTAGAACAGACAATGCTTTTGAACTAGGATCTTGTTCCTCTTATGCTGAATTTCTTAGTTCATTGGGTATCTCTCATCATACCACTTGCTCTCATACTTCACAAAAGAATGGAGTTGTGGAGAGAAAACACAAACATCTATTAGAAACTGCTAGAGCCCTCTTGTTTCAGTCCAAATTGCCTACCAAGTATTGGGGCGAATGTATACTCACAGCTACATATCTGGTTAATAGATTCCCTTCTACTGTCATTTTCAACAAAACTCCTTATGAGCTCTTGAATGGTCAACCACCCTCTTATGATCATTTAAGATCTTTTGATTGTTTAGCCTATGCTTCTGTCCCTATACCTCTTAGAGACAAACTCCAATCCAGAGTCATCCCTTGTATTTTCTTGGGTTATCCCTTTGGTAAGAAAGGGTACAAACTCCTTCATTTACACAATAGATCTATTCTATATTCTAGAGATGTTTCTTTTGTTGAACACATTTTTCCTTCTACATCTTCCCCTTCTACTTTCTTTCCTTCTCCTTCTGATACAAGTTTTTCTTATTATGATCACCTCAGTCCTCCTTCTTCCCCTCACTCTCCTACTACATCAACTCCATTACCTTCTAGTTCTTCTGTTCCACCATTTCCTCCTCCACTTAGAAGGTCCTCTAGACCACACAACCCTCCAGTTCATCTTCAAGACTATGTTTGTAATTCTTTCCAGTTCTTTTGTTTCTAACAGGTTTATCGCGGCCTCCTACAAGAATCAAGCTTCAATTTTGGAGTGAATCATCTATATAGATCCAACAAGCACTGTATATTTACTCAAAAATTTTTACTTTTGGATAAATCCTAAATTCCTATTTTTCTGTTTCTTACTGTTATTTGGGGTTTGTGGAGGGATTCACACATGTGCAATTGCGATTTCGATTTAGTTGTGTATAACCATATCTAATATGGCGTGGGTAGTTATATTTCTTTGTTCGATTACCTTTGGACTTTGTAGTTTAAATTTTCGCCAGTTTGGCGACCTAATATTTATTAATAAACCTGTGGTCGATTGTCGTTTGGTCATAGCTGTTTGCTGGAAGTGGGGCTTGTTTTTCTTATTCCGATTAGAAGTTTCAAAATATTAAATGTGATATTTCATATATGCGTGTAGGTAAAATGAAGAAGAAATCAGTTGCTAAGATGATATGAAGAAGCTGAAGATAGTGAAGATGAGTTGGAAAGTGAAACAGATAGAGCAAGTGAAGTTGACCCAGATATTCCATTAACTACTGTGTTTGAATTGGTCACGGGACCAAAAAAATTTTGGTGAAATAGTTGTAATTTGGGATATTTGGATCTACCTTTATGTAATAAAACTACCTTTTCATCAATTAAATGTTGTTGTTGTAATTTTTATTTCGATGCATTTCCTTTTTGTATTACAATAAGCTAGAGATTGCCTAATAAACGATGTGTCTAGTAATAGACTCAGGGGCGGATTTAGGGGGAGGGAAGGGGGTTCACCCGAACCCCCTTTGCTGAAAAAATAAACTGTATATATAAAGCAAAATCTATTTTTTACCTCTCTATATTATGTTTTGAATCCCTTTGACACAACCTAAAATCATAGCTTAGTGGTCAAAGGGGTTCAAAACCTTTATAGGGTCATTGGTTCAAATCTCACTAGCCATTTAGTTGCATAATAGGCTCAAACTAGCATCTAATAACTTCATCAAATATCTCATTACCAAACAAAGTGTTTAATATCCTTGATTCAGTAGAACATTACATGATCTAAAACACTTCAAACAGAGAAAACTTAGAATAATTAATTATTCCTACCAGCAAACCAATATTCCTTCTCATTTCATCACCCAACCTGCGGCGAATCCGCCAACGACGCACAAAAGCATAATCTACTTATTCAGACTCATTTCCTTCATCTTAAACATCCCTCCAACATAATCTTCTATAAAGTTATGCCCTGCCTCTAGTTCAATCCTTCTATCAGCATCATCTTCTACATGAACATCCATTACTAAAATATTTTCAAGTTCATCCACCTTTATTTGCAGAACTATTCGTTCATGCTTAAGAGCGTCCTTTTCATACTTCAAACTGTTGATAAGGCTAAAGATCCTTGGATCAAGCAAATTATCATCTCATTCCAAAAACCAACATCTCTTACCTTATCCAACAAAATCAAAAAAAATTATGATAAAATTTGAAATCCTAAAATAAGAAAAAGGATAAAAATGTTTATTTTACATTAGGTTTCGAACATTTTGAACAAGTCAAAAAAAGGTTTGACTAGGGATAGGCCATGCGGACATATTATAATTTATTAACAGCATTTGTTGTCTTCCATCAACCACTAGTCGCCAATAAACCCCTCTAATGGTCTATAAACCCTGAACCCTAACCCTTAACATTCAACCTAAATCAATAGACATCCTTAATTGCTGAGTCAACTTTAGGTTGCATCCTCTACTCTTAATGTAGTCGAGAATAAACTCATGGTCGAGAAATTTCTAAAATAATGATTACACTATGTTCGACCTTGATTTTTTTGATTTTATATCTTTTAAACATCTTATGTCACGACCCATTTTCACAACAGGTCATGAGGGCGCCTGACACCCTTGTCAGGCAAGCCATTGCGAAAATTTTACTAAAATACTTATATTGTTTTTAAATAGAAACAAGTGGAATAAACACTCAACTTGGAATTTAAAATCAGAAGAGATAAACGCTGTAATAAAATAGTTACACAACCCCAAAACAATCGTCTACCAAAGTGTGTGCCAGAACCTGGTGTCACAAGCTACGGGCAACTAAGATACAAGTACGTCCTAAATCCCTTTATAAATCTCTAGCATATCCTAGGTGCTCATAGTAACAAGATAATATAGAGAGTTATGTAAAATAAGCATGATGTGGGTCCTAAACTACCCGGACCATTAACATAGTAGTAGTTACGCACGGACTCTCGTCACCTAGCGCGTGCGTAGCCCCCGCATTTAGCAACAATTACTCAATTATTAATCCTATGGGGACAGTTCCCTCTCACAAGGTTAGAAAGGAGACTCACCTCGCTCCAAAGCGCGCTCCCAATATCAAGAACAAGCCCAAGATCTTAATTCGAAGCCGAACGATCGCAAACTAGTTAAAATAGGTAAGAACTAGTCAATAAAGGCTTAAAAGGGCCGAATTCTAACTATTTAAGTAATTTCCCAACCTTTTCCACAAGTTTCCTAAATTCCGACCCCGGGCCCACGTGCCCGGATTCCGATATTTTTCGAAGAAAATTGTTCTCTACAACCTAAGGATCAATAATATATAAATTCTAGCCCATTTCATAACAAATTACATGATTAAATCCTAGTTTTATTAAAACCCTAGGTCTAGCTCTAACCCTTTGATTTTACCTAATTTTTAGTGTTTAATCTACCTAATATACATGTATTTAAACTAAAGATGAATGGGGATTACTTACCTTACAATGCTATGCTGAAACCCTCTCTTTGGAAGCACCAAAATCGCCCTAGTGTGGAGTTGTATATGGAATAAATGACTTTGAGTTCGGATTAAATGAACTCTCTGCCCCCAGCGATTTCCGCTTCTGCGGCACCATGACCGCTTCTGCGAAATCGCCTCTGCGGAAAAAGGCCCGCTTTTGCGGAAATGGCCCAAGAAGCCTGGACCGCTTCTGCGGTCAGGTGCCCGCTTATGTGGGTCCGCTTCTGCGGATGTCGAGCCGGTTCTGCGGATTTGGGCCTAAGGAGCTGGACCGCTTCTGCGGTCTGGAGGCCGCTTAGCGGAACCGCTTCTGCGGTCTCTGGGCCGCTTCTGCAGTTTCCCTTGGGCCTGGCCCTTTCCGCTTCTGCGATGGCCTGACCGCATCTGCGGTCCCGCTTCTGCGGCGCAAGAACCGAAGATGCGGTTATGACAGAAGTAGCAACCTTCAGCTACTCTTCCATTTTTCTACTTTGCTCGAACCTCGCTCGTTTGACGCTCGGGGCTCCCGAGCCCCGCCTGAACATACCGACAAGTCTGAAATCACGAGGCGGACCTACTCGAACCCTCGGATCACTCAAAACAACGCTAAATCTTGGAATCATCCCCTAAAACCAAATGAATCAAACTATTGAATCTTCAAGTTCTTAATTCTCCTCTAACGGGTCAAAACACCCTTAAACTACTCGGATTGACACCAAACTTTACGGGCAAGTCTTAAACAACATTAAGGACCTGTACCAAGCTTCGGAACCAAAATCCGAGCCCGATAGCTAGGGAATCAATGATTACTTAGTTTCTTTAATTCCTTAAAGCTTCCATTAAACAATTTTAGATAAAAATTCATTACTCAGGCTAGGGACCTCGGAATTCGATTCCGGACACACGCCCAGGTCCCATATTTTCCCACGGACCCTCAAAAATTGTCAAATCACGAATTCGGGCCCGTTTTCCCAAAATGTTGACCGAAGTCAAACTTGGTCTTTTAAGAAATCTTAAAGAAGCAAATGGGCATATCTTTACTCAAAACCCTTCCAATTCCCGAACCAATCGCCCCGCAAGTCATAAATTAGTTAAAGCAAGTACGGGAGGGCTTTATTTAGGGGAACGGGGTTCTAAAAGGCAAAACGACTGGTCGGATCGTTACATCTTACTAATCATTATGGAACATTTAAAGTTACTACAATTGATAGTGTATTTCATACCATTAAGAGTTGGTCATTCTACAACATGTAATAACCCAACAAGCAAGACCTCTAAGTAGGGTGTCAATGGATATTCGAAAACCGACTAAGCCGACCAAACCGTATCGAAATGATTCTTTGATTTATTTTAAGTAAATCGTAGTTTTTTTATATAAATCTATAACTGCACCCTATAATTAGGGTATGTTTTTTATTTTATAGAAGTAAATTGAAAAAATATTGAACCGTACCGAATAAATTTTACCTATGAAAAATATATTTATATAGTAAGTTTAAAAATAATAATAATGCATTAAATTTTTCTTTGGGCCTTGGAGTTATGAAAACTGTTACAAGCCAACAAGTAATTAAACTCAAAATACGAATTCCTAAAACCTATTATGCTACTTCTACTTAAACTAAGTTATTTCAAGTATTTTAGCAAGAGACAAAGTATTCTAATGATTATGAGCAGCAAACTACAATATATTGAATATGTTTCCTTTCATATAATTTAGATTTATCTTTTTGAATATTTAATTTATATTTTCTTTTTCTTTGTTTGGTTTCTTTTACGTTGTTGTAGAATAGTTGATGGATCTATAGTCTAGCCATCTTTTTTTTTTTAATTCATCACCCTTTAAACAGTAAAAATATCTAGAGAGTTTTGCTACGTCCTATAAAAGAACATATGTTATTGCATTCTACTTCTACTGGTGAATTATACACGCTGTTTAAAAAAATACCGAAAATTAATCGTACCGATACCGACACGATTGGGACGGTTTCGAAAAGTATAATTTTGGTTATACATAATAGAATAACCGAAAAATTAGTATGGTACAAATTTATAAAATAACCGGTCGAATCGAACTGAGCCATTGACACCTCTATCTCTAAGTACAAGAGTGTTGTATAGTGAAGTGATGTCAACAATTAATATCTCTAAATAGATGAGTGTTGTATGATGAATATTGGGCTCTATTACCACCATAAGTTGATATTAAGTAATGTTTTGAACGATTATAATATGTAATTAATCATCAAATTGCATATATTGCTTTAATGTTATATTATAGTAATGGACATTGGCTATA